TAGGTGTTGTGTTGGAAAGCTATGCTGTGTTAATCTCTTTTAACTAGTGTGGTAAATCTAGTTTTTAGGCTATAGCCTAGTATAAAATAGAAACTATGTGATGGAAGATACTTTTCTAACTAGCTCAAGGAATGGATAAGAGAATCAAGAAATTCTTCACACAGAGGTATCAGCAACAAGACACCAAAAATCCCAAGAGAAGAATTAGTGCCTCCTTATTGGGAAGAACCAGATTTTGAGGGACTGAGACGATTGATTTACAAAATGAGCGGGGGGAGTTGATAATAACCAGAAAACAGCCTTTGTTTGAAAGGAATTTTTCCATCATCTATGAGATATATGAATATGTAACAGACTATTGCTCTTAAACATTAATCCTTTGTTAGTGAGGGCTTCTGCTTGGCAGAAAGAGTAAAATGCACCCAGACATCTGTAACCCTTTGCTTTTTATTGTCTTTTATTGTTCTACTCTGATTGAGGATAGCGGTCACGCGGCATTTGGCTCCTGCAGGGACTTTTTTGCTACAGTTTAGCTTTCCACCCTGAATCCGCCAACTTCCACTTCTCCAACCCGCTGCTCCAGGGATCCTCCCACAGTTTAGCCCCTTTGCCCCATCTTAGGTGTGAAAAATACATATTTTAAGACTGGCTGTTTGCAGAGTAAAGAATTTATTAATATTTAAATATATTAAAATGAATACTGTATGTGTTATAGTTGGAAAGTTATACTATATTTACCTCTTTTAAGTAGTGCTGTATTAATCTCTTTTAGGTAGTAAATACAGTTTTTAAGCTATAGCGTAACATTAAAATAGAAACTATTTGATATAAGATACTTTTTGCAACTACCTCAGAAATTACAAAAGATAATGAAGAAACTCTTCACATTATCCTATCTAGATAAAAAATTCTCATCCTATCGAGATAAAAATAACAACAATAGACACCAAAATCCCAAGGGAAGAATTATTACCTTCTTATCGAGAAAACTCAAACTTCAAAAAACCAAAAAAGTGAATTTACAAGCTAGGGCGGGGGGAGCTAAAATGAAACAAAACCACCTTGATTGAAAAGAAAGTTTAATTCATGTATAATATATGCAAATATGCAATAAACTGTTACTTTTAAAGAGTAATTCTTTATTAGCAAAGTGTGCCTTTTAACAAAATACCAAACACCCAGATACCTGTAATTCTTTACTTTTTATTGTCTCTTACTGTCTTTTATTATCCTAAATTTTATTGTCTGAATTTTTATTGTCTGAATTTTTATTGTCCTAATTTTTATTACTGTTTTCATTACCGTTAAACTTTTAAAATTTTAACACATTAGGAAAGCCAGGCCACACCACATGCCACCATCTCCCACGTTTCCCCCTTGCCCGAGGTCCCGCCACCACCTCCGGAGGTTTCCGAGCCCGCTCCAAGCGCCCCCTGGAGCCGCGGAGGAGTCACTGCAGCCTTGACGTGAGCCAACAGCGCTCCCTGCTGGTCGTGGGTGTAACTACACCAAGGGGAAATTGCTGGATGGGTGACAAAAGGCTGGGTTTGGTTGTTGTTTTCCTGTTCCTGTTGTTGCTGTTGTTTATTATCAACTCCTTACAGAAGAGATGTGACTACGTTTGGGCTGAAAACAATTACTCAGATGAATATCAGCCTCAAACGCCTTCAGATTTTAAAGGAGTAAACAGCCATAGCTCAAAGTAGGAGGAAAAACATAACATTCTAATCCAGTGGAAAGTTGCCAAAAACAATGGAAAGTTGTTTATTTTGTTTTTCTAACCTATCACCTTTCCTTAATTCTGCTGCACTGTGGATACTTTTATCCAATGGGCTGCTATTACACACCCCCAGTTATACTTCTATTTATAACAGCTAAACTCTTAGCTTACTTTATACAATTACATTGCTACACTATAAAACCCTTCACCATCTTACCCAACACAGTTTCTCACTTAATTACAGCACATTCTTACAACTATAGAAACCTAAGTTTATAATTTTTCTGTTTAATGTCTGTGTCCTTTTATTTTTACATCAAGCCAAGCTTCTTCCAAGGCTGCAAAGGTGGGAGCATTCCCGACAGGGTGGGAGCTGTCCTGGGAAAGTTGGAGCATTCCCGACAGGGTGGGAGCAGCCCCAGCAAGGTGATAGCAACCCGGGGAAAGTGGGAGCACCTCCAGGAAGGTGGGAGCAGCCCCGGGAAGGTGGGAGCACCCCCGGGAAGGTGGGAGCAGCCTCAGGAAGGTGGGAGCATTCCCGGGAAGGTGGGAGCAGCCTCAGGAAGGTGGGAGCAGCCCCGGGAAGGTGGGAGCAGTCCCGGGAAGGTGGGAGCAGCCTCGGGAAGGTGGGAGTAGCCTCAGGAAGGTGGGAGCAGCCTCAGGAAGGTGGGAGCAGCCTCAGGAAGGTTAGAACATTCCCGGGAAGGTGGGAGCAGCCCCGGGAAGGTGGGAGCAGCCCCGGGAAGGTGGGAGCAGCCCCGGGAAGGTGGGAGCAGCCCGCGCCGCCGGCAGCCGGTGCGCTGCCGAAACCTATTGTCAGTGTCAATCCCTTAATTCCATTACACCTACCGCAGCAATCCGCTTAGGGGAAGCTATGGAGAGGCTGAGGAAGGAGGAGGCATCGCTTAAATACACCTTGGTTTATCCCTGGGGGGAAGTGCATGGCTTAGGGTACGGGAGAGGCTGCAGGGCTCTTGGGCTCTGCTCAGGGCTGGATGAGTCGTTAAATTAGAAATACACTTAGCAAAGATCATGTAGTGTGATTAGAACTTGACAAGAAAATCAGTCGATACCAGGTGGGGATAAATAAAGTTGGGAATGACAGGTGATATATGAAGTATTCCAAGAGTGCAGGGGCATAAATACCACTGGCTTCTAGGAATGAGAGGAGGTTTGGAGTGTGAGCAGCAGGTCAAGGAGCCCTGCCAGCTTGACAGGGGTGAAGAGTTTACCACGAGGAAGACATCCTACCTCCTCCCCAGAAGCCCACCGACCCAATTAAAGAGGACAACTGCCCAGCCATAATGGATATTCAGCTGATTGTAATACAACCCAATTAAAGAGGACAACTGCCCAGCCATAATGGATATTCAGCTGATTATAATACGAGGAATAATGATTATGTATTATGCATCCTTAGAAACCTCTTGGATATGTAAAACCTTTTTTGTATGAATAGAGAGCAGGAGTCTGCAACTCCTCACACATGGCTTTGGAAAGGATTCCACATGTGTCCAGTGCTGTAATAAATACAGTTTATTGCTTCTTTTATTACTAATAATACTATTAATAAATAAATAATAATAATAGAATTTATCACTATTTATTACTGTTTATTTATTACTTCTTTTCAGCTTTAATTAGTTGAAGAGTCGTCTGTCCGTGCTTCAGTGGCCACCAGCCTGCAGCCCCCTCCACTGCTCTGGGACAGCTTCACCCACACCCTGTCACTGCTGTCACCTGTGTCACTCGTGCTGCTCCCCAGCCCAGCTGCTCCCCCACATCCTGCAGATGTGCTCCAGGGGCTGGAGCCCCTCTGGAGCCAGGCTGGGAGAGCTGGGGGGGCTCACCTGGAGAGGAGAAGGATCCAGGGAGAGCTCAGAGCCCCTGGCAGGGCCTGGAGGGGCTCCAGGAGAGCTGCAGAGGGACTGGGGACAAGGATGGAGGGACAGGAGCCAGGGAATGGCTCCCACTGCCAGAGGGCAGGGCTGGATGGGAGATTGGGAATTGGGAATTGTTCCCTGGCAGGGTGGGCAGGCCCTGGCACAGCTGGGGCTGCCCCTGCATCCCTGGCAGTGCCCAAGACCAGGCTGGACAGGGCTTGGAGCAGCCTGGGACAGTGGAAGGTGTCCCCACCCATGTAATGAAACGCTCTTGAGCATCCCTCCCAAGGCCAGGCTGGACAGGGCTTGGAGCAGCCTGGGACAGTGGCAGTGTCCCCACCCATGGAATGAGATGCTCTTGAGCATCCCTTCCCACCCAAATCACACTGCTGAATCCATCTCTGCCCACTGCCCTCCAGCCCATTCCCTGCTCCACCTTTTCCTCTTCACCACGTTCAGCAGAAAGAAAAGACAAAACACCAGTAAAAGGTGTGGAAAATTTTATTCTTTACTGAACTTTATTCGTTTTCTGTTTGGCTTAAACACAATAAATATTTCAGCAGTAGCATTGAACAGACTGGAATTCACACCCACTGCAGTACCTGAACCCCCAGACTCTGGACTCTGGGAAAGCCATTGGGGCCCCTGGGATCACAGTACCTCACTGTGGGCCACTGCCAGCACCAGTGTCCCCTTCAGCCCCAGGGACAGGAGCAGGGCCGTGTCCCTGCTGCCAGGGAGGGATGGGGACAGATTTTGAGGTCTCCAACCAGCTCTGACCAAACGGGCTCTGCAGGTGCTGTGGGCTGAGGAAATTGGCACCTTGGAGGGCGAGCAGGGAGTTCCCCCAAGATCTTCTGCTCCTGGGGCAGGGATGGCCCAGCCACTTCCTTGGAGACCAGCCTGGGGCTTCTCCAGCCAGGTCTGACCACACCTGGATGGGCCAGAGGATCTTTTCCACCAACAAGGAGGTGGTCCCACTCCCATTCCCACTGTCACCATGGAATCACTGGGGTTGGAAAAGCCCTCTGAGCCCACCCAGTCCAGCCATTCCCAGCACAGCCAAGGCCAAAGTGCTGCACTGCCAGCACCAGTGTCCCCTTCAGCCCCAGGGACAGGAGCAGGGCCGTGTCCCTGCTGCCAGGGAGGGATGGGGACAGATTTTGAGGTCTCCAACCAGCTCTGACCAAACGGGCTCTGCAGGTGCTGTGGGCTGAGGAAATTGGCACCTTGGAGGGCGAGCAGGGAGTTCCCCCAAGATCTTCTGCTCCTGGGGCAGGGATGGCCCAGCCACTTCCTTGGAGACCAGCCTGGGGCTTCTCCAGCCAGGTCTGACCACACCTGGATGGGCCAGAGGATCTTTTCCACCAACAAGGAGGTGGTCCCATTCCCACTGTCACCGTGGAATCACTGGGGTTGGAAAAGCCCTCTGAGCCCACCCAGTCCAGCCATTCCCAGCACAGCCAAGGCCAAAGTGCTGTTCCATGTCCCCAGGTGCCACATCCTCATGGCTTTTAAATCCCTCCAAGGATGGGGACTCCACTCCTGCCCTGCGCACTGTGCCAGGGGTGGATAGCCCTTCCCATGAAGGAATTGTTCCCAATATCCAACCAGAGCCTCCCCTGGCCCAGCTTGAGGCCATTTCCCCTTGTCCTGTCCTTGTCCCACCAAGAGCAGCCTCTGTGTCACCTCAGCCACTGCTCTGACACAGCTCAGAGGTAGAGGTGGGCAAAACCAGGAGGAGCCAAGGCAGGTTTCCCAAAAGCATCCCTTCCCTAGGGATTTTCCAGCTCTGTCAGAAGCAGGCATGGATGCTCTCAGGGAAGAGTTTAGGGCCCTCACTGGAGCCCAGATCAAACCTGCCCTGACTCCCAGCTGCAGATCCTTGACAGGCCAGGAGGTGACACCAGGCCAGCTCTGTTTAAGGAGCTTAAAGATGTTCCCAGAGCCTCTGGAGCTCCCACTTCCAGCACGCTGCTCCTGGCTCTGGCAAAGCCTTGGGGCAGGGGGGTACGAGGAGAGGCAGCTGCCAAACCCCACCATGACCAACCAGAGGCTCCAGGAGAGCTGGACACAGCCTGGAGGGACAGGACACAGGGAATGGCTTCCCACTGCCAGAGGGCAGGGCTGGATGGGAGATTGGGAATGAGGAATTGTTCCCTGGCAGGGTGGGCAGACCCTGGCACAGGGTGCCCAGAGCAGCTGGGGCTGCCCCTGGATCCCTTGGAAGGGTCCCAGGCTTGGAGCAACCTGTCCATGGAAGAAGAGACAACACAGATCAGCTGTGGGGCACCAGGTTGGAGGAGCTGAGGAGCCAGGACCTGCCCTCTCCATGCCCAGGAGCACATCCCACGGGAAGGACAGAGCCCAGCCAGTGACCACCAGCACAGGACATCCCCCTCAGGGGCTGTTACCCAGGGATAACAGGGATAACATCCCCCTGTTACCCAGGAACACTTGAATTCTTAACACCTAAACCCACGGTGGCCAATAGAAAGGTTGGTTCTCAGCTGCCACACTGGATTTGGTCTCTTTGTTTCTATTCCCCTCTCAGAATCCAGCAGCAGAAATCACTGGATTTCTAAGAGCCAAAGGAGAAGCCCCCTCCCCACCAGGTACAAGCCAGCCCAAACCCCAGTGCTGATTTAAGGAGATTTTTTTCTACTTTCAAGGTGCAGTAAATTAAGGCACCAAAGAGCCAGAACTCCCCCAAGATAAAGCCTGTGCAGAGGAAGCAGTTCCAGTTTTGGAGTGGGATGTTCTTCCTACACACCAAGATTAAGCTCAGACAACTCCTCCCAGCCTCAGCAGCATCCCAGTCCTCAGGAGCCAGTGATGCTCACGGGAAGAGACAGGACAAGGCAAGTTCCAGGTTTGGGAGCCCAGAGTTCAGTTGGAAGCCTGAGGGAACAGCTCAGTTCTTCCCTGCTTGGGCAAACACAAAACTAAGACAGAAAATCATCCAACATACACATTTCTCAGCGTTGCCAGCCCAGCTCTGCTATCTGAACAAGTTCCACAGGAAGCTGTGTCCCAGCTGAAGATTCCCTCTCATTCCTGTGCGAGCAGGACTTAAATTTATTTTATCTCCATAATTCTATTTCATTAAATAGCAGGAGTCAAAAACTCAGGTGCAGCCCTGAGTCACTTGTCATTTGTCCATCGAGGGTTGTTTGTTTCTTGTTTTTTGGGTTTTTTTTTTGCTGTACAACATCAGTAAAATGGATTGGAGGAAGCTACTTTATTAAATAAACTCCAAAACCCATCGGCCCCCTCTCCCAGCCCCGCCGCAGCCGTAGGGACACGTGAGATCCAGAGCTTCCCACGAGGGATGGCAGCCCTGGGAAGGGCCCAGTTTGCTCCTCACAGGCTGTACCGTGACCAGAGGCTGACCAAGAGTGACCAAGACTGACCAAGAGCTGACCAGGGGCTGCCCAAGCAACCCGTGAACTCATGAGCTCAACCTCCGGGCTTCCAGTCTTGGCATGACAGTGATTCCAATTTCCAAAAGAAAATAGCAGTTACACGTTGAAGGCTTCCCAGAGCAGGACGAGGCTTCCCCTGCAGAAGGAAATTGCTCTGACCAAGCATGGTCAGATGCCCCACGTTGCACAACAATCAGTGCCTGAAGGAATTTGTTCCCATGGTAAGTTCCACCTGCGCGATCGGCCGTGCTTGTTCTCTTCCGGATGCAGCCTTTCCAGAGCCTGGGTTTAAGCTACACTCTTCATTCAAGCACAGGTCTTCATTGAATCAAGCCAACAGGAAAAGAAAATCAGCATTCGGTCTTCACCACCCCACTCGAAGTCAATTAAAAACAAAACAAAAAAAAAACAAATTAAAAAATAAAATCAACGCAAACACATCTTTGACAAGTGGACAGTAAACAAAGAGATGCCTGGAGACACGCGGGGACAAAGAGAGGGAGAACTGAAAGGTTCCCACCCCTGGGAGCATCCTGAAGGTGCACACATGACCAACAAGGGCCTTCAGGTGCTTTTCCCAGCGGTGGAATTGCAGTTGGGAAGGGCCAGGCTGTTCCTGGCTGTGGAAAAGGGGCTCAGGCAGCAGGAAAGGAGCCAGGGAGCCAAGCCATGACAGCAAATCCATGATGGTAGGAATGGGGAGAGCTTGGCTCTGTAGTCTAAGCCAACTTCCATGGCCCAGACGCCCAGAGCAGACTGGGAACACACATGGACACACATGAACATGTCAGGATGTGGTCCCAGGTGCCACACAACATGCAGAAGCCACATTCCCACTCCTATGGGAAATTGAGCCCTGATATTCCAAGCCCCCCATTTAGGATTGAACTACAAGCTTTGAGTGTCTTGTCTTATTTTTTTCCCTCCTAAAAAAAAATAAAATAAAAAAAAAAAAAAAGACAACAAAGGTGCTAGCAAGTGTTTGCCCAAAAGCAGGAAGGCAGGACAGAATGTGGGAGAACTGTCACCATCTGCTCCCAAAGTACCAGCCCAGCACGAGGGCTGTCCAGACAGCAGCCCTGGGGACAGCCAGGAACTCTCCCCCACCACCAGGATGTCCCCCTGCCCCTTGGAGGACTCAGCTGCGTTGGTTTTGGTGTCAGGCCGAGGTGCTTTGCTCAGGTAAAGCCTCTGCATCCCCAAGCAGCTTTCCCTGAGCAAGGGCCGGAGTCAGAGGCTTCTCTGGGAACATTCAGCTGGTCTAAGGTACAGTAACAACGACCTGAAGGGCTCCTCCTCCTCCAGCTCCACTCAAAACCCGAAGCTTGCAGGGATGGAAGAGCAGCAGGAGCCGCCCCGGGCCGGCTGCAGCGGATCCCGCGTGTCCTTGGCTCTGTCCAGAGAGGATAGTTTGATCTGTGGTGATGGCTGAAGTATTTACAGGTGTTTGCAGCAGGTATTTACAGTCCTTCTGCAGCCCTCAGGCCGATTTGCTCCTCCTCTGCTCCCAGTCAGTCCGGAGTGGGTTTCCGTAGGGAGAAGGGCCGGATGTTGAAGTGCCTGCTCAGCTGGCTCACCTGGGGACAGGCAGACACGGGACTGGGTTATCCTGGATCCTGGGGGGTCATCCTGGATCCTGGGGGGTCATCCTGGACCCTGGGGGGCTATCCTGGATCCTGGGGGGTTATCCTGGGGGATTATCCTGGATACCCTGGGGGGTTATCCTGGATGCTGGGGGGTTATCCTGGATCCTGGGGGGTTATCCTGGACCCTGGGGAGTTATCCTGGATGCTGGGGGGTTATCCTGGATCCTGGGGGGTTATCCTGGACCCTGGGGGGTTATCCTGGATCCGGGGGGTTATCCTGGATCCTGGGGGGTTATCCTGGATGCTGGGGGGTTATCCTGGACCCTGGGGGTTATCCTGGACCCTGGGGGGGTATCCTGGACCCTGGGGGGTTATCCCAGCTCCCAGGCAGGAGCAGCAGAGCAGGCAGAGCCCCAGACCTGCTCCCTGTTCCCAGCAGCCACTCTTCCCACCCCAGCCCTGCCCACAATCCATGTCCTGCCCAGCCCCATCACTGTCCCCAGGCACTGGTTACACAGGGAACAGCTTGCTCCCTTCCCAACCTTCCCAAAAAACATCTGGGAGCAGGCTCACCCTCTGTTCTTCCCTTCCACACGGGCAGGAGTTGGGAATGCTGAGCCCAGGCCTACAGGATTTTACCCTCCTCCTTCATTATTCTGTTTAAATTCATTTTATCACCTCAGATATCTATATAAAATATTCCTGAATCCATTCAAAGTGGGAGCTGGATAATTTACCTCCTGCAAAAGGAGGCTGAGCTTGACACAGTCAGGGCAGAGGCTTTAATCCTAATAATTCTTCCCGAATTCAGAGCAGTTTGGGATTATGCCCCAATCCCAAAGCCTTTAAAGGCTCTTCAGCTCCAAGTGAAGAGGAGCTGGCACAGATGGGCCCTTGGGAAGGCAGAGGGAGGGAAAGAGGGATCAGAGAGGAGCAGGAATCTCCCAGGAGGGGATGGGCAGGAGGATTACACCACCAGCTCAGCTCCATCTCCAACTGTGATTCCAAGACCAAATTTATTTAAGCTTCTTAGTAATTCAAATCCTTCTTGCCCAGAAGCCTCATTACACTAATTGGAAAGACAAGGCAACCTGGCTGTTACTCCTTGGCTGTAATTACAGCTGGGACACGACTCCATAGGCTCTGGGGTGGAACTGGGGCTCCCAGGGGAAGGGGCTTCCCAAGGAGGGTGTCCCCACTTCAGCTGGGACATGTGGCCCCTTGTCCTCCTTCCTCAGCAGCTTCCCAGTGGGACTCTGGGCTTCTCCTGTTAACCAAAACTCAGGGAGCCAGGCAGGTTCCTTCCTTTTGAGGAGGAAACCAATCCCTGGATCTGTGCACAGATGGACAGGAGGAAGGGAGGCCCTGGAGCTGCTGTGTTCCCACTTCCCCCAGCAGCAAAATCCCCACTCCAGCCTGCTTCTCCCAGCACCTTGGAGACTCAGTGGGAGACTCAGAGCCCCTGGCAGGGCCTGGGGGGGCTCCAGGAGAGCTGCAGAGGGACTGGGGACAAGGCCTGCAGGGACAGGAGCCAGGGAATGGCTCCCACTGCCAGAGGGCAGGGCTGGATGGGAGATTGGGAATTGGGAATTGTTCCCTGGCAGGGTGGGGAGGGGCTGGGATGGAATTCCCAGAGCAGCTGGGGCTGCCCCTGCATCCCTGGCAGTGCCCAAGGCCAGGTTGGACACTGGGGCTGGGAGCACCTAGGACAGTGGGAGGTGTCCCAGCCATGGCAGGGGTGGCACTGGGTGGGCTTTGAGGTTCCTCCCAACCCAAACTATTCCAGGATTTTGTGCTTGGTTTCCAACTCATCTGACACACCCCAGGGGAAGGACAGCCCCTTCCACATCCCGTGCAGTTCCTTTCAACCCCGTGCAACCTCTTCCCAAGCCCCTCACAAGGAATCCACCCCAAATCCCACAGGCTCACAGAACCATTCCCAGTGACATTCCCAGCTTCACAACGAGCACTCCCAGCCACAGCCCAGCCCAGGAGGTGTCACCTACCACGACCACTCCGTAGTGGATGTGTGCCAGGGTGAGGAAGGCTGTCAGCAGGTACAGCAGGAGCGTTTCACTGCCTGGAGCCAGCCCAGACACCACCAGGAGCAGCACGGCCGCGATGGGCAGCAGCATCCAGTTGAGGGGCTGGCACCGTGTGCTGCTCATCTGGCACACGATCAGCTGGCACTGAGGGGACAGGGACAGAGCCTGAGCCTGCTGTGGGCTCTGGGAGCAACACATGTTTGTCCCCAGAGCAGAGGGGATGGTCACTCGTGTGATTTGGTACATTGCCCACCCTGTGCTGGCACTGCTGGGGCACCTCCGGTGCTGGGGGCAGCTCTGGGCACCTCCTGCCAGGAGAGACCTGGAGGGGCTGGAGCGTGTCCAGGGAAGAGGATGGATCCCCAGGAGCAGCTGAGGGAGCTCAGCCTGGAGAAAAGGAGGCTCAGGGGGGACCTTGTGGCTCTGCACAACTCCCTGACAGGAGGGGACAGCCAGGGGGGTCGGGCTCTGCTGCCAGGGAACAGGGACAGGACAAGGGGAAATGGCCTCAGGCTGGGCCAGGGCAGGCTCAGGGTGGACACCAGGAGGAATTTCCCCATGGAAAGGGTTGTTAGACGTTGGAAAAGGCCCAGGATAGTGGTGGAGTCTTATCCCTGAAGGGATTTAAAAACCCCCTGGATGTGGCACCTGGAGCAGGGGTGACCTTGGCAGTGCTGGGGGACAGTTGGACTCGGTGGTCTCTGAGGGCTTTTCCAATCTTAACAATCCCATGACTCTACCACTATGCAGCTAAATTAAATTTTGACCAAAAAATGTAGTCCTCCCACTTAATTTTATCCCCAAAAGGAACTCCTTTCCCATCAGCTTTCACTTTGCTGCTCACAGCACACGTGAAAACTCAATTTAACCAATTCTCCAATCCCACAAGAATAAAGCAGAAGCTCTTACAGAGATGTTGGCAAAGGCTGTTCCAACCATGAAATAGAAGAGCCTGGGCTGGACCTCCAGGATGTCAGTGGGGGACAGGAAGATCCAGGTGGTGCAGAGCAGGAACAGCAACACCGGGGACACCAGGGGCAGCAGGATTTCGTACACAGAGTGGTGCTTCAAGGTGTTATTTTTATAGGCCCTGAAACACAAGCAAAGAAAGGAAAATACATGGAATGACTGAGAAATCCCTGGTGCTGCCTGCAGTAATTTCCTGAAGGGGCTCCAAGAGAGCTGCAGTGGGGACTGGAGTGATAAGACAAGGGGGAATGATTTCCCACTGCCAGAGGACAGGGATGGATGGGAGATTGGGAATGAGGAATTGTTCCTTGTGAGGGTGGGCAGGCCCTGGCACAGAGTGCCCAAAGAAGCTGGGGCTGCCCCTGGATCCCTGGCAGTGCCCAAGGCCAGGCTGGATGGAGCTTGAAGAACCCTGGGACAGTGGGAGCTGTCCCTGCCCATGGCAAGGGGTGGCACAGGATGAATTTTCCACCCCCTTCCCACCCAAACCCTGCTGGGATTCTACAAAACTCACTTGTAGAAGTTGTACAGGCTCATGGGCAGGGTCACAGTGAGGGCACAGGCTGGAAGAGAAAAGTGCCACGTTAGTGCCCCAGGGCAGAGGGGACACCCCATGCACCCCGAACAGGAGGCTCTGGCTGGGCTCTGCTTTAAATTCCCTGCACCAAAAATTGCTCCTGGTGCCCCAGGAATAGCTGAGCACATTTGGAAGTAGCTGCTCCCGAGTGTGGCCCAGGAGCTGTAATTAAAAGTTAAAGTCTGCTGTAAGTTGAAGACATTTCCATTTGAAAGGGCTGCATTAAGGAGCTCGGGTTTGTGCTTTAAACAGTGACAAAGCTTAATTATAATACAACTCTAATGAGACACAAGTGCACACTCCTCAAATGACATGGCTGGGCATAAGAGTTTTCACAAGAAAGGCAATTTGCTGTTTCTCTGGCTGTGTGCAGACATTTCCAGTGGCCACATTGCCAAAAAGTTGTCATTTAACTGGATAAATGATACAAAGCACCCAAATAACTAAAAAATCCTGACCTCAATCAGAACCACCAACACTATCCATGATATTCCAGGACAAATCCTTCCCTGTTTATCCAGCAGAAGGTGTGTGAACAGAGCTGGAAATATTCCTGCTTTAATAACCCAGCTCCTCTCCCCAGTGTGGGAACTGGGCTCAATTTCTCATATAGAAAAAGCACATTCATTATTCATGTTAAGTCACACAGCTGTCAAAGGAAAGCTGGGAACATCTACCTGATAAAAGTGCAAGTACATTTAACGCACCAATTAACTCAAAATTAAGCAATTACAAAGAACACCTGAAGGGACACAGAAAATAAACTGAGCAGAACTTGTGATTTAGGCAAATGGCATTGAACATCAGCTCAGCTCTACCCTTTGCAGTGGCTTATTTTGACTGACCACAGCCTTTATTTCAATTTTATTATCATTATAATGATGTAATGTTCAGGTGGGAGGATGGAGGGCAGGGTCCCCAAACAGCAGAGCTCCCACCCACCTCCATGGCTGCAACCTCCCTCCCACGCAGTGTTTGGGCTCTGGGATGAGAGGGAGCCCCAGAGCAAGAAAACAGAAGTGTCCTGACCCCTCCAAACCAGCCCAAGGCTGGGGAGGCTCCACTGAGAGCCAGGTCCCACCACCCCCTGCACACTGGGCTTTATCCCCTGGAAACTCTGGGTTTACCACACTGGTTTTACCCCCAGGCTCTCACTGAGGACAAACTAAGCTTGTCTGGAGTGAAGTCAGCCCAGGCAGAGCAGAGTTAAGGTCTCCAAAATAACTTTGCAGGAGACAACCCTGTTTTGAAATCCTGGGAAAGGTTTCCAGGCTGTGAGAACACCCTCAATTAGTCACTTCAACAACAGCCCGGGGCAGCAAACAGAGCAGTGTTAGCAGGTCATTAGCAGGGGGTTTGGGAAAAAGGTGAAGTTTAAAAGACAAGCTTCAACATGGAGTTTCTTACCAATAATCATTGCAGTGAATAGGTCTCTATATAAGAAATTAAACAGGAAAGGTGCATACCAGGCCTCAACTCCCACAAAGGCTGTCACTATGTAGACAATTGAAATGGTCTGAAAGAAAGCACAGGACAAGCAGGGGTGAGAAATGAGATGGGCAAGTCTGGCAGCACCTGGCTGGCAGCACCTGGGCTGGCAGCACCACACACATGCCAGGCTGCTCCAGGGAAAGGCAGCTCTAAGCTATGTTCAGTCCTACCCACCAGCAGGAAAGAGAAATATAAAAGAAATCCACAAATATCCCACGTTACCAGGTGTAGGAAGGGCGAGCTGCTGAGCAGGGATTGGATTGGGAAGTGCTGGCACTGCTGGGGCACTTCCAGTGCTGGGGGCAGCTCTGGGCCCCTCCTGCCAGGAGAGACCTGGAGGGGCTGGAGCGTGTCCAGGGAAGGGAATGGAGCTGGGAAGGGAATGGAGCCCCAGGAGAGGCTGAGGGAGCTGGGAAGGGAATGGAGCCCCAGGAGGGGCTGAGGGAGCTGGGAAGGGAATGGAGCCCCAGGAGGGGCTGAGGGAGCTGGGAAGGGGCTCAGCCTGGAGAAAAGGAGGCTCAGGGGGGACCTTGTGGCTCTGCACAACTCCCTGACAGGAGGGGACAGCCAGGGGGGGTCGGGCTCTGCTGCCAGGGAACAGGGACAGGACAAGGGGAAATGGCCTCAGGCTGGGCCAGGGCAGGCTCAGGGTGGACACCAGGAGGAATTTCCCCATGGAAAAGGTGCTCAGGCCTTGGCAGGGGCTGCCCAGGGAGGTGGTGAAGTCACATCCCTGGAGGACTGTAAAAACCACGTGGAAGTGGCACTTGGGGCATGGGCCAGTGGTGGCCTTGGAGTGCTGGACTCGATGGTCTCAGAGGGTTTTTCCAACCTCACTGATTCCATGAGGAGAATATGACCAAGACCTGCAGGAGAGATGCCCTGGCACAGCCTTGAACTCTCGAGGTGACCACAGCACAGGTTTTACACAAGTTGCAGTGACCCTGGAGGGGTCATTCAGGGACTCTTCCTTATCCATCTGCTGCTGGATTACAGGGAGAAGCTCACCAGGGCTATTTCAGCTTTAATAGTCCCCTGAAGCTGGGTGGAACACGCTGCTCTGCCCTCCACCCCTGCCTTTCTCCAGCAGGCAGCTCAAAGACCTGGGTTAAGCAACATTTTGGGAGAAAGGATCAGAGTACAGTCAGGGACCAGCTCTGGTCTCCTTGTAATAGGAGAAATGATTATTCCAATTAATGCAGCTGCATTAATTAAACTCTCCTTCCAACTCATTGCATTTCCCACCCAGCATCTGACAAACCAGAGAACAAATAAATGGACAAAAGATACTGAGTTAAAAAGAAGCTTTTTTACAATGAGGGTGCTTGCCCAGAGATCTGTGGCTCCCTCATCCCTGGAAATGACCAAGGCCAGGCTGGACAAAGCTTGGAGCACCCTGGGCTGGAGGAAGGCACTGCCAGCAATCCAGGAGAGTTGCCTCATCCCCAGGTCCCTGTTCTCTTCAGGAAGAGCTTCCTGCAGAGAATTCCTTAAGGAGGGATGGACACACCAACACCCCAAGGCAGCCATCACCATCAATCTCAACACCCTCTGCCCAGGGACCGTGGTCTGGAGGGACACCTCCCCAGGAATCTTTGCTTCAGGAACAGCAATTAACAAGCCAATTACCTCTGCTGATTTTTTGACCCAGATCCTGGAAGTGCCAAAAAGGCATCCCAAACTTCCAGGCTTTACCCACACTGGTACCACGTAGGGAACTACATAAAGCAACAATTCCAGCGGGCAAAACGTGCAGGAAGCAGGGAGAGGAGAGCCAAGGCCGTGTCCATCCTTCAAGCCTTGTTTGTCATGGAGAGTCCACGTCCATGGACTGACTCCGTGACTGACAAGGCTTCGGATCCACAGCAGAACACCCCCTCAGTGGGCAGCACTGCACCCAGCAGCTTCTCAGGGAGTGAACTCACCACCTGGCTGACGTCATATCCCCAGGGCAGGAAGAGAATCCCTGTGTTATACTTCTCCCAGTGGGAGAGGATGAAGGAAAACAAGACCACCCAGAGCAGGAGGTAGAGCACGAAGACGCTGACGCCGGTGGAGCCGCGGCCGAAGGTGGAGTACACGGTGACCACAAAGTACACACAGGCCCAGCTGTCCAGGCCGTGGTCAAAGAGCTCTCCCAGGGGGGTGCTGGAGTTGGTCCGGCGTGCCTGCTTCCCATCAACGCCATCTGGGAAGAGGGAGAGAAACGTGGATGGTGTGTTAAGTCTTTGAGGCAGGTCCTAGGAGCTCTCAGAGAAATCTATCACACCTGAGATGGCTCAGCTAGCCATGAACGGCATGAAATCAGCAGGATGGCTTGTGAGGTAGTGTTGGGAACAGAAAAAGGTGTAATAAAAGGCAAAATAACAAAGCTCTTACAAAGAAAAAAAACTGAGGGGGCAAGAGGTTCTTGTTCCTGCTAAAACACCCCACAAGAGTGATTATTTCCGTTGTTCTCTTCTTTTTCTAGTGAATTATCTAGGTGGGATCTCTTGGCCTCTGTCTAATCAGACAGCCCCAGGTCTGAGGTGAAGTCCAAAAGGTCCTTTTGGAGGTGTCTTTTGTACTAAATTGGGAGAGAAGCTTGGGGCTTTCTGCCTTTTTAAGCAGACAAAGAATAATTTAGTCACTCCATCAACAGAGGGCACATCCTTACACATGGAGCTCTCCTGGACACTCCACACAAAGCAATGGGCCAGGGAACAGCAGCTTTCCACCCTCCATCTGTGAGTGGACTTCCCACCCCTGCTCCATGGCAGGCTGAAAAATCCAACAGTCTGATGAGATTATATTTATTTCCTTGTATTTCCTTTATATTCCTTAAAGCAGCCTCTTCCTGTGCCTAAAGGAGGTCCAAGAGAGCTGGAGAGGGACTTGGGACAAGGGGTGGAGGGACAGGACACAGGGAATGGCTTCAAAGTGGAAAAGGGGAAATTTGGGTGGGATATTGGGCAGGAATTCTCGGTTGTGAGGGTGGGCAGGCCCTGGCACAGGTTGGCCAGAGAAACTGTGACTGCCTCTGGATCCCTGGAAGTGTCCAAGACCAGCCTGGATGGGAGTTGGAGCACCCTGGTGTTGGATTAGGCATGTTTACATAGGCGTGTTTTGTTTGTTTACAAACAAATGCATACTATGTGAACCTTCTATTCTTTAAGAATTCTCTCAAAAATTCACTTCCCACATTTGGGATAGCAGAAAGCATCCTTGCCCATAGCAGGGGTAGAACCAGAGGATTTTGCAGGTCCTTTCCAACCCAAACCTTTCTGGGATTCTCTGATTATTTAGAGCAGGCCCAAGACAGATTTTCACAGTTCATCTCAAAGTCACTTCTCCTTTCCCATCAGATGATCTGGGACAACTTCCTTGTCTCCACATTGCAAAGCAGCTCCCAGGAACTGCTCCTGGCAAGAGCACAGAATCTTACACTTCCTGTGGGTCCAGGGAGAGGACAACACAACCACAGCACGAGTGGGTGACCCTGAAAACTCTTACCTAACGTGTAGGCCATGAAGTTGAGGAGCCCCACCACGATCCACACGCCGTTTGGAACGTGCTGGTGATCAGGAGCTGCAGGGATCAGACAGAGCAGAGTCAGGACAGTTCAGGATGTGCTTCCAGAGGATTTATTTTGGCCCAAAAAGCTCAGCCACGAGGACTCAAACAGTGAATCTGGGATGGGAGCCTTGCAGGATGCGACGGCAGAGCTGCCCCATAACAGCTCACGAAACCAGGTTGGTGAGGACTTTGCCTTTCAGGATATATTTGCCCTTTTCTCCCTGCCCTCCAAAATGATGGGATCTGAGAACAGGGGCCAGTTCTGTAGTGCCACTGCAGGCTGTGTGGAAGTGTGTGCAGAGGACACTCAGTCACTCGCTCACAGAGCATCGAGTGGAGCCTCTTTGATGTGGCAACTCCCTGCCCCCGCAGGAACACGCCAGGATTCCCCGCCCAGTCTCCAGTCCCATCCTGCCAATGGAATCCGAGCTCTTCCCTAACAGCACCTCCACCTCCTCCAGCAAGGCTCAGGCAACGAGCCAGCAGAGCTGGCTGCACCTCACAACATACCCACACTTGTGCATCAAGGCTTTGTGGATTTTCTAGGATCACACCTTCAGTTTCTCTTCTGATGGACAATGTTTTATTTTGTATCGTGAGAAAAATGGAATGAATGTGAACGTGATCCAGATTCACGCTACAATCCAAAATAAAAACTAATTTGGGACTTTCAGCATGCTGGTTAATACCCACACTGTGTTGGTTGTGGTAGAAGCAGAGTATAACAGTCCATTCTTCTTGTCCAGCACATTTCTCCCCTGTTAATATTTACTTCCTAATGGAAATCATGATAGGCTGCAATCAGGGAGGCCAAAGGGGCACTGGAGAAGGGCAGGAAGAGGCATGGATCCTTGGCAGCAGGAGGGCACAGGGAGGTCTCCTGGGGGCACAGTGATCCCGTGAAATGCCACCTCCTGTTTCCTCAGGGCAGCAGGATGGTGCCCTTCCAGCAGCAAAGGGAGGGAGGGCATCACATCTGCAAAGCCATCCATGGAGGAGGGAAGGCACAAAATTCTGGAGCAGCACCAGGAGAAGTTCTCTCTCCAAGCAGGACATGTAAAATATTTATGTGAAAGGGTCCCAAGCCATGAGCTTCTCCATCCTTCCAAAGCCAATTTTTGAGAGGCTGGGAGAGTTTGGGATGTCCTGCCTGGAGAACAGAAGGCTCCAGGGATCTCTTAGAGGCCTTTCCAGGGCCTGAAGAGCCTCCAGGAGAGCTGGAGAGGGTGGGACAAGGGCCTGGAGGGACAGGACAAGGGGGAATAAATTCCCACTGCCAGAGGGCAGGGATAGATGAGACACTGGGGCTTGGAGCACCCTGGGATAGTGGGAGGTGTCCCTGCTCCTGGCAGGAGGTGGGACTGGATGGGCTTTAAGGTCCCTTCAACCCAAACCATGCTGGGATTCCATGATTTTGGATGTCTGATGTCCTGGGGGTTTTCACCTTGAGCTACTGACAGCTTTTGTTCTCATGGCTCATGGACCTTAACATGAGACAGCCCAAACCCTGGCCAACAGCCACAGGTGCCACCCAAGCCTTCCACAGCTTTGACTTGTCTACCAGTAAAGGAAATCCCAATAAAGCAGGATTTTTGCCACCTGACTGTGTTTTGATGATGGGTCCAGTTTAGAACTACAGAAACTGTCTTGAGCAACCTAAACCAGATCTGGCAGGGTCTAAGGGAGAGAAAAAAACGGAGGAGAAGCTCCTGAGAATTATGACACTGCATTAATCCTTTCCCTGGGATTCCTCCATGTGCAAAGGAACACGACTGAACCATTGGATTCACAGACAGATGAACATGGTGGGGGCTGTTAGAAAGTTGAAAGCTGTGAATGGTGAAGCTCAGAAAGAGGATTTGGCCTTGTTAGTCTGATGTGCTGGTGGTTTTGCCAAGAGGGCAACGAGCTGGGATGTGAAAAACAAGGCTCTACCTGCTGATTTCAGGGAAGCAGCACTTCCTAACATTTTCCTGTTAGATTTTCAAACAAGGGCGCTGGGTTGTTTGCTCTGCAGGCAGAGGCAATTCCAACCCAAGATTCCAGCTGTCTCCTCCTCCCTGTCCTGCCCACTGCCAGCCAGGAGCACCTTTCCCTGGCAGCCAGAGGGAAGGTGTCACATCCAGACAAATCCTTGTCACAAAACCCAGCAAGTTCAATCCCCTCCTCTGTCCCAGTCACTTTGGGAAGGCCCAGACCCAGAGGCCTCACCAATTCCCAGCAGAGGAAGGTGACAGATTTCCCACCTGACCAGGAACATGCAGCCTTACCAGAAGCATAAAAGTCAGGGTCGAAGTATGCCATGAGGAAGAAGTTGAAGACAAGCAGCAGGAAGCCAGAAAACGTTATCAAATTTGGGGCCAGCCAGGTAGGGAAGATCTATGGGAAAGCAGCAAAAGAATAGATGAACTCATTAAAACATGGACTGAGGAGCAGGCACTGCTCCAGCCATGGTTGCACTGTCTGGGTGTTAGACAACACTTCCAGGAGCAGCTGGAGCATCCCGGGGCAGCAGGAAGCGTGGGGCTGGGATGCAGGCATTCAGGATTTGGGGCAGGCTGCAGGCAGCCCCTCACTCATTAATAGCACCACAAACGAAGCAGCTGATGGTGTTACAGAGCTGACCTGGGCTGTGCTGTCCTGCTCAGGGTGGGACAGGGACTCACCTTCACGATGGCGTTCCAGAAGGGATGCATGACGTACAGGGACAGGGGGTTGCTGTCCACGGCGCTGTACTGGGAAAGGGAAACAAAAACCAACAGTTAGGGCTGCAGAACCTCCCAGCAGCCTGCAGAAACAGCCAGACATCTGTTCTGAGCCACATCCTGTGTGGCACCCCCACAGGACTCCTGATGTATCCCCCACTTCAACAGCTTCCAACTGTTCTGCCCCACCTGGATGAGGAGGAATGCTGTGAGTCTACCCCCCAGCAGTGCCATCTGTCACCTCTGGAAATGCCAGCTCCAGCTCTCCGAGTGGACACAGGCAGTGAGAAAAATGTTGATCCTTTCAACAGCTTCCAACTGCTCTGCCCCACCTGGATGAGGAGGAATGTTGTGGGTCCTATCCCCTGCTCTGCTGTGATCCCTTTGTTCCTTTGCTGGTCCCAGTCTCCATCCTCACTTCCAGCAGTGGGACTGGGAGCCCCTTGAGCAGGATGGGTCTCAGAGGGCCCCTCTCCACTGAGGAGCTGAGATTTCACCAGAGGCAGCTTTGGGAATGGGGAGGGAGAGCTCTTACCCCTCACCCATCACTTTCAAAACATTTGAGGTGCTCAGGGTGTGTTTGTGGTGGGGGAAATAAAAACAGAAACAAAAATCAAAGATCTAGACAAGGCATGAAACAACTTCCAGATAGAAAGTTAAAATTTGACATCATTTGGCTCTCGAGAGCAGCATGAGCCATTATCTGCTCTCACAGCCCCTTCCAAACACAGATTACCCTGGCTAAAGTCCTCTTCTCCCAGGAACACTTTGATAAGAATCCAAGACCAATTCCACAGACTACCAAACTCCTGGGCTCACATGCTCGGTGCTGGGCTGGGCAGAACCTGCTGCTCACCCACCTGCTTGGGACAGCACCCCCAACTCCAGCACAGCCACCTGCCCGAGTCCAATCCCAACCACAGAATCCCAAGTAGTTTGTGTGGGAAAGGACCTTCCAGAAACTCCAGTGCCTCTCCCTGCCATGGCAGGGACACCTTCCATTTTCCCAGGGTGCTCCAAGCCCCATCCAGCCTGGCCTTGGGCACTGCCAGGGATCCAGGGGCAGCCCCAGCTGCTCTGGGCACCCTGTGCCAGGGCCTTGCCCCCTCACAGCCAAGAATTCCTTCCCAATATCCCACCCAAACCACCTTTTCCTCTTTGAAGCCATTCCCTGGCTCCTGTCCCTCCATCCTTGTCCCCAGTCCCTCTGCAGCTCTCCTGGAGCCCCTTCAGGCCCTGCCAGGGGCTCTGAGCTCTCCCTGGATCCTTCTCCTCTCCAGGTGAGCACTCCCAGCCTGGCTTCAGAGCAGAGGGAGCCCAGCCCTTGGAGCAGCTCCGTGGCCTCCTCTGGATTCATTCCAACAGGTACCACATTTGGTTTGGTTGGTAAAAGGAAACCCCTCAGCAAAGAGCAGCTCCAGGTGTGTCCCCCAGCCCATGGCCTTGAACCAGCCCCTGTCACTGCACCCATGGATTGCTCCAACCTGTTCCTCTCCTTGTCTGCATTCCCCACTTTTCCCTGGAAGCAGAGAAGTGGTGGGAAAGGGCAAAGCAACACCCTCCAAGACAGGCACCGGGACCAAGAAGGGATAAAGGACCAAGATGGGTCTCGCTGGGGTCCCATCTTACAGCATTTGCTCCCATCTGGGTGAATCCCATCCTTGTCAAGGATTTCTGTAGCCCCTCCCTGTGCAGGGTCAGTCCATCTCCCTGGATTTAGCCCCAGAGGTTGTGTCCCCACAGGAGCAGCAGAGCAAGAAGCAACAAACCCCAAAGCCGTATGGAAGCAACTCTAAGCCGCAAGGAATTTCCATCTCAGCTTAATGCAATTTTTTGGGGCAGAATTCCAAATGCTTTACAAGATAATAGGATTTGAAGCACCAGTTAGGGCAGGAGGAGAGACTGATTTAATCTCATTATCCCCAAAACAGCCTGCAACAAGAAAACAGATGCAAGGCTTGGAGTGAGGCAGGGGAAGAGCTCCAGAGCCTCCGTGCCCGTGCTTGGAAGGTACCTCAGGGAAATTTCACCAGGCCCTCTCCTTGCAAGAACTGGGGATAATATTCAATAAACAGCTTTTCCCCATGGCCACACATGTTCCCACCTTGCTTGCAGAACTCAAAGAGCTGGGAAGAGCTGTTTCTTGGAGAAAGGGCAGCTGCTCTGCAGAGGTTTGCTGATGCAACCATGGAGTCATGGAATATCCAGGGATGGAAAGGACCCACAGGGATGATGGAGTCTAACTGCTGTCCCTGCACAGACCCCCAACAATCCCACCCTGCACATCCCTCAGAGCATTGTCCAAATGTTCCTGGAGCTCTGGCAGCCTCGGGGCTGTGCCCATCCCCTGGGGAGCCTGGGCAGTGCCAGCACCCTCTGGGGAAGAATCTTCCATGATATCCAACCTAAACCTCCCTGGCACAGCTCCAGCAGTTCCCTTGTGTCCTGTCCCTGTCACAGAGAGCAGAGATCAGAGCTGCCCCTCAGGAGGAAGTTGTTGACATCCATGAGCTCTCCTCTGAGTCTCTTCTCCAGCTGAACAAGCCAAGTGCACTCAGCCATTCCCTGTGTGGCCCCTCCAGACCCTTTCCCACTGGGTCTGTGCCCCTCTGGATCTCTCCCACAGCTTTAGATCCTTTCTATGCCCCCCAGCTCCTGCCAGGCTCCAGCCAGGACACTTCTCTGTGTGCTGAGCGAGGCCAGCCATGCTGTGCCCACTCTGGGGACACTCTGGGGCACAGGGACAGAACCAGGGCTGGCTCTGGTGCCAGGCTGGCTGCCACCCTTGGGGACAGCACTCTGGACAGCCAGGACACGGCTGCCTGCCCAGGACAGCTGCTCCCAGAATACCAATGAGCTGCCAGGCACCTTCAGGGACAGATCCCATCTTGGCCATGCCCAGACTCCTCCAGTTGCTTTTCCTTGTCGGGGTCTTCCTTACAAACATTACTAAAGCTGTTTTTTCCACCTCTTCACTTGTGAAGCCCCAAACCCAGCAGTGTATAAGCCTGGCAGTGGTTTCATCATTCCCCCACCACATCCTCACTAGAAATTAGTGTCACCCTCTGCATTTTGGATCTCCACACACTGGTCTCGTGACTCACATCCCTGTATAAGTCGTTCTTCTATCACGACCAACGATTCCCACCAGCCTGGACTCTGGATTTCTGCCCCTTTTTCAGGGAAAGAGGGTTAAAGGAAAGGGAGAAGAGCCCAGAAGGAATTTCATCCATCCCAGTCTCCTTCCCAAAGCAGCCAGGCATTTGTAAAGGGCCCTGTTCTAAAATAGCTCCACGCTCACAGACACAGTTTCTCCTCACGGCTGCAGGGAGGAGCCAACCAGCCCAGACAGCTCCCTCGGGACTGGGGTCAGAACTCCTCAGAGAAAGAGCAAAACCAGCAGGAACAATCACTGGCAGCACACAGGAGCCTCCTGTCCATGCCAGGATAGCTCCAGGGAGCCACAGGCACCCCAAGAGCTGGGGACAGGCTGGGTGGCTGTGGTGCCATCGCAGACGAGCTGGCTGGTGTCATTATGGGCCATAATGGCTTGTATGGCTTCAACCCAACATTAATCCTGCAACCAGGACACCTCTGGGAGATCCAATTATGTGTCCAAAGAGGAAAAAAATACAGATTTATAGCCCAGATTCCACTAATGGTCTTCCTGTCCCGGAAAAAAAACAATTCTGCTTTGAAGTAATCTGGTTACCCGGAGCCAGCAGCAGAACAAGCACTGCCATAGAACCCTGGAGAATCCTGAGCTGGGAGGGACCCACATGGATCACCAGGTCCAGCTCCTGGCCCTGCAAAGGACATGCCAAAAATCCCACCAAGTGCCTGCTGTGCTTCACCCCATCACTGGGGTGAGCCAGCAGTGTTGGGGTGTGACACCCAGGTGGGCCGGGGCAGCACAGCACTGGTGGCACCTGTGCTGAGGACAGCAAACAGAATGGATTTGCACATCCCATCTTGCTCCCAGGTGCTCCAGGCAGGATCAGGGCACTCAGCAGAGCAGCTCCATCAAGTCCAGCAAGGCTGCTCCCTACAAATCTCCTTAAATACAAAGAGGGCACAAGGTTAAGAACCTTCTCCCCTCAGGCTCAAGATAAGGCAGGAGGCAGAAAACTCAAGCAAAACCAGCAAATGGAAGCGAGCAGAGCCGTGCCAGGCACGTTTGCCCTATGCCCACCCTTGGCCAGCGTGTGAGGAGTCACCTCGCCCTTTAATGGTACTGATTAACCCGAGCCCTGTTTGCCTTTTCCAAGGTCACTTCTCAGCTGGCACCAGAAGGGAGAGTGTTGGCAGTGCAGGGCTGCACCCACCACACGAGCCCATGGGTTTGGAAGTTGCAGGAAGGACGTGGGTGTCCTGGCTGTGTGCCCCAGCTGCAGCTGCAGCGTGTCCCTCCTCCTGCCTGCGTTTCACTGTGCAGGGTTCAGACATCCAGCAATGAAAGATGCTCCAAGACACAGCACAAAGTCACAGAATCACTGAGGCTGGGAAAGTTCTCTCCAAACATCGAGTCGAACCATCCTCTGGCACTGCCAAGGCCACCACTGCCTGATGTCCCTTGGTGCCACATCCACAGGGCTTTTAAATCCCTCCAGGGATGGAGATTTCACCACTGCCCTGGGCAGCTGGGCCAGGGATGGACAGTCCTTTCCAGGAAGGAATTGCTCCCAGTGTCCAGCCTGAGCCTGGCCTAGCAAAGCCTGAGGCCATTTCCCCTTGTCCTGTCCCCATCCCCTGGCTGTCCCCTCCTGTCAGGGAGTTGTGCAGAGCCCCAAGGTCCCTCCTGAGCCTCCTTTTCTCCAGGCTGAGCCCCTTCCCAGCTCCCTCAGCCTCTCCTGGGGCTCCATTCCCTCCCCAGCTCCCTCAGCCTCTCCTGGGGCTCCATTCCCTCCCCAGCTCCCTCAGCCTCTCCTGGGGCTCCATTCCCTCCCCAGCTCCCTCAGCCTCTCCTGGGGCTCCATTCCCTCCCCAGCTCCCTCAGCCTCTCCTGGGGCTCCATTCCCTCCCCAGCT